TAGCCTGACCTAGTCAATAACCAAACAATAACAATAACACTAAACTTTAAATATCAAAGAATGCATTTGGCTAGTATGACCCAAATAAAGTTGCAACTTTGAACATAAAATTATGAATTCCAATTTTTCAGCAAAGCACAGCTTTACCCTTTGATACTAGAGTTCCGCAAATCTCCAAATAAATTTTAATAATCGATTTCGCCGAATGTAAAGTTTTCTTTTTGCATGCAAACTTTTCCATTTCTTCTTATTATTTTGTAAAGAAAATTGTAAAGTTTAATGCGGTTGAAAAACTTTTCATTTTTCCATTTTTCCTATTCTATAATAACAATTCTTTATGCTGAGTAAAACAGAGTCGAGCAAGAATGAAAGCAAAACAAAATAAATGTATAGGAATCACGTTTTAAATTAAATTTTTATTTGCATATATTTTTTTGGTGTGAAATAGCATTATAAGCAGCTAGCAGCAGCAGAAAACTGTTTCTTTCTCATTCTTCAATTTTCCAATTTCAGTTTTTTTAGAGATTTATTCAAATCCTTGTTGGGAATTTTAATGATGTTTATTTTACAATTTTAAAGCTTTATCGAGATGCTGATTTATGCTTTGTTCTTTCCTCTTTTTTTATATTTATTTTATGCTCCCATTGCCTTGCAATATTACGCTTGAGGACATACTTGATTTGCTCTTATTCAAGTCCATAAATATGCTCGAGCATATCAACACAGACAGGATTGAATAATAGTAATATCCAGTATCATATGGTATTAAATGTGATAAAATGTGGAAGAAAGTAAGGCAATTATTCATGTTGGAATTGGATGAAGAGGCGCATTTTTAAGTTGATTGGGATTTTTAAGCTGAGATGCCTAAATTCTACAAATGGTTGTGACTAAATATCATAGATAGGGATCATCTCCTTTGGGGAACTTTTGAAAACCCCCATTCATAATTTTTCTTTCATTCATAAATGCCAGCCCCCGACCCCCTCCCCCCTAGTACGACCGCAGGATTCGACTGAATCGAATCTATTTGATAGACAAGAGCATTTTATGGGTTTGGAATGGGGGTTGCTTTAAACTTACTTGATCAGGATTAAATTCCTTAAACTCAGTCAATATTGTATCTTTCTCTTGAAACATGAACAGTCAGCTAAATTCAAAACAATCAGCACATTTACAACACGTTCTCGACAATTGCACTAAAATAGAAGACAGAATAAAGTAAAAATTGTCAATTGTTAGGTCACACAGGAGATAGAAATGATAACGAAACGTTTTTGGAATAAGTTGAATGAATTAATTCAAAAGAGCACTTCCTTTTTCACCCGTCATTTGACACTCTCGTATAATTCATTGCAATATTGTCATGTATGAGTTGTGATCTAGCCAACAAGGAAGAAGAACAAATGGAAAAATGAGATTCTTTATTTGAGGAACCTAATGTAATTTTATGGAAGGGAAAAATGAGATTATGAAGATGTGTTGATGCAGTATGGATACCTACTAAGCAAAACTTTACTTCTAATTTTCAAAAGTTTAAGTAGCTGAAGAGCTTGATGCTATGTATAAAACTTGGGAATCACCGTTTGAAAGCGAATAGTTTTTATCAGTTTTGAATGATTGAGACTTAAGGGAACATTCGCTAATGACGTCGATCATTTCAATTGAAGTGGAGGGTGCGGATCTGAGATTTTATGGCATCTTAATACAAAATTGTTTTATCTTACAAATATTTGGTGACAATTAGGGAATAAAATAGACGTCATATATGAACGACCCCTAAAGGGATGAAGTAATAACTTCATAGCTTAAACTAAAACAATTCATGCGCTCAGCAGTAATTTCAACTGTAAATTCAGTCATTATAAGATGAAAAATCTCACTATTTTAGAGTACGACTGCATGACGTTAATCCAAGACTATTGTGAATATATCAAGGCATTTTAACGCATATGTGGATAAGAAAATAATCTAGAACTCAATTGATGCCACTTCAAAACTCTGAACTCAATAAAACTCTCGTGATCATAAATTTTCCACTTCATTGAGACTATTCAGCTTTCCTCCCCAACATCCAATGCGATTACATACGAGAATCTCTTCAATCTCATATAAATTTAATCCACAATTTCTTTGTAATTATGTAAATTCACATTACAATTCCACCATCGTCATACTTATTCAACTATAAACTCGTTTTTTCCACTTCATGAAGCAATCAACAGCAATGTTGCTTATAAACATCATCGTCGTCGTCATCGTAGATGTTGGCAAGGAATTTGAGTGGAGGAAAAAAATTTCCACAGGCTTAATTGTAAAATTTTAATTAATTTGCCATCATCGAACATTTTCCATCGACATTACCGCAACTCTCATCATATTAATCGTTTAATTATGTATCAAATCGAGGTAAAGATTGAAGCTGTTTTTCAGATAAAATAAGATGAAATGGAAACAGATAATTATGGCATTTAAAAGAATTCGATGTTGCATGCCAATGAGAGATTTAAAGGCGTATTTAATCCGTGAACATTGAACCACTTTTGTCAAATACTGCACATTTGAGCTGAATGACATCCGGAGTCTGAACTCATTTGATAGTTTTCATTTTATTTAAAACATGCTTTGCTCAAAATTCTATCATCCACACAAGTCTAAGTATCTAAGTTAACAGCACAACTTTAAACTTTTACCTTATTCTCAAAATTTTCCAATCACAGCCACTACAAAGCCAATTTGTCGCATTAAAATCATGCAACAAGCAAATTCAATAGAATTTTGTGGGAATTGAAGTAATAATAAAGTTAGCGATGCGGAAAATTTTTGTTCCTTCCTCTTATTAAAAAATATCATCTTTTTGTTATCATAATGAATATAACAAATTAAGCAACAACCTCCGGCAATTAAAAACAAATTAAAATGCCATTCCTTGTTAAGATTTTCCCATCTTCCTCCTTCCTAGCCTTTTTTTGTTGCGACTTATTTATTTGTTTACTCGCAATTCGCTTGTTTGTCGTGGTTTGAAAATGAAAAAAAGAAATTGGAATGTCATGACAATTTGTTCATGTTATTTTGTGACTAATTGCAGTTAATAAAGTTTATTAAATTTATTTTTCTGTCTTCTTCGTTTCTGTTTTTATCTTCGAGCTGTTACTGCTTTTTTTATCGCATTATGTTGAGTATCATTGGATGAGGATGAAAATATTTGGAATTGGAAACTGAGAGCGCATTACTTCTGTTATTAGTTTATAGTTTTTGTAAACTTTATTTGGTAATTTCAGTAAAGTAGATTATCCTCGATTTCGGATTATCTATGATCTATAAAATCATGATTAAATTGGATTAAATTTTTGTGACTACCTGGTACCTAGCTACATTTGAATTTGATTAATTTTTCCAAGTATTGAACATCCAAGGGGTCCCTAGGAATCAAAAGAACCAGCTTAGAACTTCTTTTGGGTAGAAATCGAACCTATTTTCTAATAAAGAAGGAGGATTCCAGATTTATAGACTATTCCTTAACTACTTGGCTATAACGATACTGGGAATCATTTCTTAAGAGGCTTCTTCGAGCAGAATCAGAACATCTTTTTCATTGATGATGACCAAATTACTAGAGTTACTCTTGGTACTTACAGATCCATCTTAATAACAGTGCATACTTTAAATTCCACACATTTTCTTAACTGCATAAATCATAAGATTTGGAGCTTTGAAAAACAAAACAATGTTTATGACAGGATTCGAACCTACAAATTTTAAGAAGAAACCAACTTTTAAAATAAGCACTTTCTAGATTATAACACAAAAGTACTAGTAATTTCCCATAGCAATATAAAGAGCACATAAACTGACAACATCCCATTATAATCACAATTCCCACAGTATCCTCCACTCCAGTTATTATTTAATTATCCTGTTGTTTGACATACTTGCAATATCAGCAATTAAAATAAAAAAAATTGCCAAATTACATAAACGGAATTGGCATTAAATCCACCCCTATTTTTTTGTGCTTCCATCTCATTTCTCATCTATGATATTATAATATAAATAGAAGCGGAAAAAAGAATCTCTTCATTAATGCGAGATCACTTCCCCATGTTGGGCTATTACATCTATAAATTATTTTTTCTTAATCGCTTATAATCGTGAAATGAATTAATACGCACATTCATATGCGATACTTATGCTGAATATATATAAAAAAGGCTTTAATGTCTCTTTATAAATGTGTGCAAACATTTTCAGCATTTTTAATGTGTTTGATTTTCGTGAAAATCGCTTAATAGCTTTTGTGGTATTAACATTATTAAGGAGGATGTAAAGGTATGCTTAAAAATGGAAATGAATGTTGTTACAGGTAAATTTATGGATTTTTTAAAATTTATTTTACAATATTTCACCTTGAAAATGTGCTTTCGAGTTCTGGAATTTAAGATTATTAGGAAAAGGTTTAAAAAGATTACAGAAACGACTTTTGGATCTAAAATAATCTTCAAAAATTCAATTTATTTAAATATATTCAAAAAAATCATTCAATAATATTTCAATTGACATTCAAAGCCTTCATTACATGCTAATCGCTTTTATTGCTCAACCATCAATTATGTTTACAAATTCGTATGAATTATAATTGTAGGTTTTCTAGCTTTTACATTAGAATTTTAGAATCAAGGAAATAATTAAAAGATTTACGTTTTATGATTGATAGTTTTGTAAATATGAAATTAAATAAGAATAAGTTCAGTAGTATTATCACATAATTAAATAAAGTACAATTATAGACATGCTCTGATTTTTCCTACCTTAATTGGATTTTTTCACTTTAAACAATATTAAATCTAGAAAAATCTAATGTTACAATTTCCTTCATATACCTTGGATCGTTTTCTTTTGCTTTATGTAGTCTTCTAACATAGTTTTAAACATTATGTCTTGCCTTAACATTGTTTCCCTAAGATTCAATTTACTTAGTGCTGTTCCCTTAATTTAAAACTTTAATTCTTGACAAACTTAATCAAAAACATAAAATATGAATAAGATGCATTAACGAAGTTAGTAAACAGATTCATATCCACATTCCCAATAATAGGAACAGTCAGCTTACTTGTATGTTGACAAATCAAAAGAAATTGCAAAAATGTCTTCCTTTTTCGAACTGACAATTCATACCACGGAAAGTCATAAACAGCATTCAAAAACTTCTCATTTTGTCTTATTATCAATTGTCCATTTGTACAAGGCAAAAGAACTTGAAAAACAATTATGAGCGATGCAGCACATCCAATTGGAATAGACACAAATCTTGCAGAAATTATTGACAAACCAAGTGCGACAGAATTGAATGATAAAGCCATAAAAGCAGTATATTGATAAGACGTAATCATTTGCGATAAATAGTTATTGAACTTTTCATGTTCTTTAATTATTTGATCCAATTCATCTTCAGTATTTTCCAAAATTTTATTGTACTTTATATACTGAGTAATTTGGTAATTTCTTAAACTTGTACAAGATACTTCCAGTAACTTCTTTTCAGCAGTTTTCTTGGAGTTTGTTAATTTAATTCCCAACATTTGAAGTTTGTAGATCAAAACATCAGCCATTGAAACTGTTTGAGAACTATGAAAGATGAAAGTCATGTCTTGAATCATAAATGATAAGTACATTGCTGTTGATGTCATTAATACAAAGAAACTGTTGATCACAAACTCTGTTAAATTTTCATTGGTTATGTATGGCAACTTTAATTCAGCAAACATTTCAAAGACACCATTTTTGTAGCTGATGATCCATGAAGCAATGATTGGAATATGATATATGATAGAACTTAATGCCAAGTATAACTGGATGACATATTTTGTATTTTTCACTCCACTTTTTAATATTGGAAGGATCTTTTCATTCACTTCCTCTTGCTTGTAAAAATTGATCACTAAATTCTTCAAATCTGATATTCTCTTTTCATCATCAAGATTGACTCGATTCAATAATCTAGCCAAAAGCTGTATGACAAATGAATAAATAACAAAAGGTAGACATAACTTATTAAAATGTGGTCAGGTTTGGTAAATTCCATTCAAATGCATAATTTCAGCGAATGTAAAAACTATATGAATAGCTATATATCTTGGATGAAATTTATTTCCATCTGGCATTTCAACTCCGGCTATCATCGAAACATTTCGAATGAAGGTACGAATTGCTGTAAAAAATTGAAGAAACGAAATTAAGTAAAATTTTAGGAATGAACTTTAAGTTTTTTTGGAAATTAAGTAAGAGTTCCTAAACTAAGGATACCTTGTAAATCTTTAGAAGGTAAACTTTCCATGCCTTTATAGTTCTGAATTCTACATTCAACTAAGTACTGAAGCACTTGCTATAAAGTTAGTAATAACGAAATGAAAGCTTATTAATTATGAGTTAAGCTTTTACTTCGATTTTGAATTAAAACATTCCTTTAGCAATTAAATATTAAGCATTTTACTAGTCATATGCTTTTTATTGTAAATTAAGGCATAATATGACATAAATACTATCCATTTGATGTTAGCACCTGGTTTTTCACATCAATTTGAACGCCTATTAAAATAAATATGTTAAAACCATGCAGATTGAGCAGATCTGATCTTTCTTCTCGATAATTTAGCTTTTAACAAACTTCAACATTAACATGAAGTACGAGTAAGATGCATTGACGAAGTTTGTAAAAAGCGACATATCAATATATCCAATAATTGGCAAGGTCAATCTTTCTGTATGTTGACATACCAATAGAAACTGCAGAAATATCTTCCTCTTTTTGACTGACAATTCATACCAAGGAAAGTCATTAACAGCATCTAGAAACTTATCATTTTGCTTATTAATCAAATGTCCATTTGCACAAGGCAGCAGAACTTGAAATAAAAGAATTACTGACAAAGCACATCCAATTGGAATTGAGACAAATCTTATCGTAATTAATGACAAACTTAAAGCAATAGAATTTAGTGATAATGCCATAAATGCTGTGTATTGATAGGAATCAATAATCTTCTTGATATAGTTGTTGTAAATTTCGTGTTCCTTAATAATTTCATACATCTGATCTTCAATTTCTAAAAGATTTCTCTCAAGGATCAAACTTTCATTCACCGATTGCTTTTGAAGTTTTCTTTTATAATAAATTACTGTCAATGCTCGGATGTTTATCAAGTTCTTCTGATCAATTATTTTTTTGCCAAGTAATTGTAGCTTTCTGGTGAAAATTTCAGACATTGGAATCAATTGATAAGTTTGGTAGATAAATATCATATCTGACAGCATAAACAGCACAAAAACAACAAAACTCATGATGAAGACGAGCAAGCTATTAATAATAAACTCAAATCGTGTATTTAAAGTTGTGAATGGCAGTTTAAGTTCACCAAAAATTATGTTCTGATCATTGATATAGCTGATAATCCATGACGTTACAATTGGAATGTGATAGACAATAAAGCTGAATGTCAAATACCATTCCAATATGAATTTAGTTTTCTTTATTCCAGCTTTCAATATTTGAATATTAGTTTCGTCAAGTTCCTCTCGCTTGTAAAAATTAAGAGCCAACATTTGCAAATTTTTAATCTTTGCTTCGTCATCTAGAATATTTCGATTTATAAGTCTTGCTACCTGCTGTATAATGAGTGAATAGATTGCAAGTGACAAGCAAAGATTCTTAAAATGTGGCCAGCTTTCATAAATTCCATTAATGTGCATTATTTCAGCACATATTGACATAGCCAAAACAGCAACAAACCGAGGATGATATTTACTTCCGCTGGGCATTTCAATTCCGACAAACATTGATACTCTTTGGATGAAGGATCTTAGTGCTGTTAAAAAATAAACATTTTATTTTTGGGAATTTAAATTAAATCTTGATTAAATCAATAGAAGCTGTGATTGATAAAACAAAGAATATCAAATTAAGATCTAAATGTTTATGGATTGCGCAAGTACTATATATATTTGATTTAACCTTTTAAATCATTAGATGGCAAACTATCCATGGCTTTACAGTTTTGATTCTCAAATTCAACTAACTTAAATTGAATATTGAAAAAACATTTTAAACATGTAAACCTAATAATTAAGATATTAAAGCTTTTATAATTATAAGTTTGAGTATGATTCTACTTTAAATCCTTAAAACAGACCAATTTAGCTTCCGCGTGAAACCCGGGAAGTGTTTTCAATTTGAGTTCTATTGTTTACCATATGAGTAATTACGAAAACTTGTATTCCTTAAATGTCAGTAATTAAAAATCAACGTAGGAATTTAATTAACCATTTTAAGCGTGGCTTTAACACAATTTTAATCCATTTTCTATATAAACGACACAACATTAATGACAAACAATTTACAAATAATGTAATCATACAAATGAGTACAATGAGCAATGGCTTGCCTGGAAACAAGATTCAATAATTCACAGGTCAAAAAAATTTATAAATCTTACCGATTTTACCAACAATCTCACAGTGTGATTGGAAAATTGGTTTAAAAACTTCCGATACTAATAAAAACAATAATTCAGTCCAGAAAAGCTTCTTTAAACGCCAGAATTGGTAAGAATTAAAATTCCTGCTTTTGAGAGATTGAACGCTAAATACTTTATCTAGATTTGAATTGAAATTTCTTTTTTTTTTAATTAAATGTGTTTGAATGATTTGAAGCTGCTCCTAATTTCTCATATTTTTTTGATGCAAAATGATTTGTAATCAAATAAGTTTAACATTAGTCTATTAGTCAATTAGTGATCTAGTCGCCGTCGTCAAGCTCTGCCTTAAAGCCTACAAAGGTTAATTAAAATTACCATTACCAAAATCCAGAACATCACATTAAATCAAATGCCAACGATTTCCAATTAATAATCAAACTTTTTTATATTAATTGGCATTCAAAATAGCTCAATTTGATTTTATGTCAACTTTCATGATTGCTTTTTAAATTTAGCATTGTTCAATAAACAGCACAAATAAAGCTTTTCCTAATAAATTTCGTAAATTGCTGAACCGCTTTAATATGGATTTAGAAGAATAACAAACAAAAAAGTTATGCAATATTTCTCATATTATGTACAACATGATAAATTGAATACATATATAAATATTTGAATACACATTACAGCATGAGCATTACATTAGGAGTCTTGGAATATTTTATGGACTGATAAATAAGTTTTTGCCAGAATGAAGAATCTAAAAATAAAACTTTGTATGGAAATCAACGAAAAACCGCTGATGTTTTCCGAAGAAAATGAGATAGGAAAAGAAAATTGCGAACGAAACAAATTTTTCCTTGTTGAAAGCATGATTTTGAGGAAAATGCGAGGCTTGATCTGCCTGAATTTTGAAAATTATTTACTTAAGACTCGACAATAGCTTTGAAATGTGTCTCGACTGTAGATCTGAGAGGTGTCTTGACTATGGATCTGAGATGTGTCTGGAACAGAGCTGTAAAATGAGTCTCGACTAAAGGGTTAAAATAGTTTTGACTGATTTGGAAATATTCTCGACTTTAGGGTTGAAATGTGTCTCAAATACAATTCTGAAACGTGTCTCGAATACAATTCTGAAAAGTGTCTAGATTCAAGTTCTGAAATGAGTCTCTACTACAAATCTGAAATGTGTCTTGATTAAAACTTGTCTGAAATGAAGTTTCAAAACGTGTGTTGACTATAAAGTTTTAAAAATTTCAAATTTCAAAAAGCCGTTATAAATTTCATCTCAATTTTTTAACAAGATTTCATTTAATATCCAACAAATGCTTCGCATGCATATAGAACTGGCGATTTTCAGTTATCAATTCTTAATAAATAATTCTCATTCTTGTGTATTTTTCTTTTCTTATTTCTCGTTTTTCACTAAGATGACGCCAAACGAGCTTTTGCACTGTCTTTTTCTTTTCCATGTTCCAAATGTGCGATAAGCTTTTTTAATTTATCTTTTTTTGTTGCGTGCTTTTGTTGAATTATGAATTGATGCGAAATGGGAGCTGGATTAAAAGATTTAGATAGAATTTTCAGACTTTCTATTTCTTCTTCTTCCTTACTCAGCAACCCCACTCAGTTCATCGTTTTCTGCTCTGTAATTTTTCTTTCCCTAAGTGTTTACGTGATAATGTTTAGAAAATTTTTAACAGGGCTTCAAGTTAATTGAAATTCGTTAACTGCAAACAAGACGAACGGAATTTTTTAAGGAAAAGAAAAAGAATGTCAACAAGTTATGGAGTGGAGAGGCTCGTGGAATCATTAAAATTAAGGTTGGAATCATAGTGTTTGTTGGGCTAATGAATTTAATTTAAATTTAAGATTCTTGACTATGACGGCAAGTGGGTTTTGGTTGTTAATTGTCAAGCTTGATGCTCTCTTTTTGTCAAAGAAGTTATTTTCAAAAAAGTTCGTTAATATGTATTTTTTCAAACCTGAAAAGTTCGTTAAATTTTTTCAAACTTAAAGAGTCTCTTAATTTTTTCAAAGTTTAAAAGTCAGTTAAATTTTAAAAGCCCCCCCAAAACATAAATTTAAAAAATCATTAAAACTCAATTTTCTCACATTTTTCAATGACACAATTTTTGTAAATTTATTTTAAAATTTCTTAAAATTTTCACTAAACATTGTTTCTTGTTCAAACGTATCTTCATAATTATTTATTTTGCAAATGTCCTACATTAAAAAAATTAGGTATAAACTAGATTAATATGTAAAAAATAATAATAAAATATAAATGACATTTATTGCATTTATTTTATGACGTCTATCAGTTAACGTAAATGAAATAAAACTTTTTTTAAGGATTGTACAAAAAGAATAAGAAAGAATGAGAACCACGAGTCTTAAGACAATTTAAGAGAATTTTGTGACTTGCTTGGGTGGAGTTAGCATGACATTTTAATTTGATGAATTCGAGTTTAACGTGCAGCTTTTGCACTTAAGGACGAGATTATGGTTGAAGTTTCGCATGTTGCATATTAGTGTAAGCTATTGAGGATCTTCTGACTCTACTGCTTCAAGTTTTTAAATTTTCGAGGGGTTGATTGTGTTTTTAAACTCTCCTCGATAGCAAGGCATTCCATTAAGTATTGCATCTCTAGTATTAGGTTTTCGACCTATATTTGATTTTCGTTATAATCAGCTGAATCAAAGTTTCGATAAAAAAATGCTACAGGCTCGAAAATCTTCGTTATCTGTTGTTTTGTCGAATCACTAATTTGTCAATTAAGTTCAGTTTAAATGGAGTGTATCCGTTTGATGACTAGACTTTATCTTGATGACCACGAAGTTTAGAAGCACCTCAGCTCATTCAGTTCAATTTTATTTATCAATTAATTCAACATCCCACACCAGTCCTCATTTCATGCTAGCTCCACCCAAGCACAAAAAAGTATGACAAGTTTTTTTTTCCTTTTTACATCCAAAAAAAAAAAGCAGAAAAAGAAGTGTTTTTTCATCTTCATCTTTACATCTACGGTAAATATGTAAATTACACATCATATCATGATGAAATTATTATAGCATGCCCGTGTTGAGATTGTGATTATTTGTGGTGAATTGTGAATTTGTATCTAGCATGTGCTGCTTTGTTGTATCGGTCGTGAACGATACGACACTTCCTGTTGTTTGAATTTCATTTTTTATGATAATCTTCTTATCATTTGTCATCGGCACTTGCGAATAAAGGCCAACTACTGTAAATACAAATGCGGAATATGCAAATTATTGATTTTTTTTCTGCTGTGACTGTTATATGGATATACTCACTTTGAATACTTGAATTTGAATTTCCAATTTGTCCAGTCGTCGTCGATGTTGTTGGAAAGATAAGTGGACTCATTGTTGCTTTCACTGGTTCCTTCATTATAATTCGGGGTTTTATCTGATACTGTCCATTACTGTTCATACTTATTATGCAATTATTTATGGAATTTGGACTTTTTGTAATTATTGTTGATTCCACTAAATTCATGTCCTCGGTTTTTATCATCGCCGTCATTGGAGTTGTTCCAGTTGTCTTATGGACTTCTTTAAGCATAGCAGTTTGTTGCTGAATTGACGCTAGGAAGCTTTGCTGTTGCAGCTGTTGGGTTTGAAGATCAGGTACTTGATGCCGCATCTAAAAGTATCCCAAAAAAATTATTAATTAAAATATATATTAAGCAATTTTTGTAATGCGCACCTTCTTATGCCCATCAACATAATGTGGATTTCTACAGCCTTTACATTTACAATCTATACATGCTTTAGAATCAACATAACATGGACATCGTTGTCCACAGCAAGTAAGCTTTCCAGGTGCAGCAGTAGCATTTCCACATCGACATCCTCGCCTCTTTTGCTGATCATTTATATTTAAAGATAATAAGGACGATGTTGATGTCTGCGTCGTCGATGTATTTATGAAACTTGCTGACGTCGATGTTGGAACTATAATTGGTATTTGTTGTGTCGCTATTTGAACAGGTGGCGTTTTGAAATTTTCAGTCTTTACAATGGTTGTTGTCTACAAAAGGAACATAGAATCAATAATCTAGCACTTACAAGCCTAGAAATAAGTTTTAGTGACAGCCGACCATACTCACATTATTACTAGAAGCGCTTAAATCTGATGTGATAGGAATAGATGCATTGTCATCTGGTGCTTTACGTTTAAGGGTAATTTTATTGCCACTGCCCGTGTACATCACAGAATATATTGTTGGTGCCGTTTGCTGTATCTTCATTGGACTCATAATCGATTTTGTTGTGTTAATTTGCGTCGGTGCTTGTTGAGCAATGGATTTAACGCGCATTGGAACATGTGAGATGAATTGAGATGTCTTTAAAAGCGATGATGATGATGATGATTGTTGATTTGGTACTGGAAGCTGTTGCGGCTGTATTTGTGGTTTAGAAGTGATTGTTGGAATCGGAGATTGAACAATTGTTGGTGCTGAATATTGAACTATTTGAGAAATTTGAGTGATATTTGGTGACGGTGAAAATGTTGTTGTTGGTGCTGAAGACTGAGTTGTAACTGTAATTATAGGCGGTGTTTTTGGAATTTGAGGAGATTCCACAATCGGGATGATTTCTTGATTGTGAAATTGTTCAGGAGATTGCACAATTGTTGTCGAAATTGGACTATAAGGTGGAAGCGGTGAGATTGTGGGAAATGTTTGTGGATGGTACGTATAAGGAACTACTTGAGGAGATTTTTCTTTCTTAATTATTATATTTTGTATTGGTTTCATAACTGAAGAACTATTTGAATTATCATCACTACTGGATGATGTCGTCGGCGAATCGTCCTGGATCATAGCTGTATTACTACTACTTCGTCCATAATTCACTCCATACTCGATTATATTCACTAAACTTTCCTGTCCTGTATCATGATTCGTTCGCCGCTGTATATAATCATAGATCCAGCTGCCTTTTATTAGCTCACACAACTCATTATACAGCCTTAATACTAATTTTGTTTGACTGCTCTTCTCAAAAAGCGTAAAATCCCTACACATCTTACAATTTAAAGTCGTTGATCGATTCTTTCCTATACAATCTAAGCACACACGATGATGACATGATAGATGTTGCTTCTTCGGCGTAACTGGATCATTAAGTAGCTGTTTACAATTTTTACACAATAAATTTTCATAAAATTCACGCAATTTCTCTTCAAACTCCTCAAATTCATCCCAAACTTCATTGGGTTCGGCCGGTTCAGCACTAAACACAATACGCGCTAAATTTATATACGAGTTTAATGGATTGGTCATTGTTAAATGCCTGGATTTAGACCGAAATTCATTAAATTATTCTATCATTCAAAGTTTGTTATTATTTTTTTCCAAGGGATGATAATTTTAATTTAAATTGTTCAACCCTTGCCATTGTAAACAGTGGGAACGAAAACAGAAGTGAGCAGGCTGTTAATGAATATGACTGGAGCTTTGTCGTTTGGAAACTCGCTGCAAAAATTTCAAGTTAATTTAGCTGCGATTGGCTTCAGGAATCAAATGTTTATTATTATGCACTGAACGCACTCCATTTTCTGTTGACTTAACGAAAGTACTCAACTTCCGTGCTAATTTTATTTTTAAGGATTGTAGTAAAATTATGAATTAAATGTTCATTTCTGGTATGCTGTGTTCTTAATGCAGCCTAGTTTTGTTGTAATTTATGTGATTTAAGGCTTAATTGATTGTGAATTTTGAGATAATTTGATAATTTTAACGAAATTGTTCAGTGCGGTAGTAAATTTGAATTTTGTTCTGAACGAATATTAGCATGTTTTTCTAGAATAAATGTCACCTCTATTTGTCACTTTTTATAATCAAATTCAAAAATCGGTTAATATTAAATTGTCATTTATAACTGTCAAAATTGTCCCAAAATTAGATTAGTTAAATTAAGTTTTATTGCTATTGCCATAATAAACACAATAAATCATTAAAGAATCAATTAAAGCGCTTTATTCACTAGTGAAACAATTTTCATAGTAAACTTTAGTGCTTAGTTATTTCAAAAATATCATTAACGGTCGTGTTTTTAATCTACAATTGTAAGTTCTCTCAGTCAAAATCACAAAATAGTTAATTAAAATGAAGTCAAACAAATATAATGACACAATTGTTGATACATCGACATTAACGCAAGATGATCTGCAGGATGCATACGAGAAATTAGCAAAGAAATATTCCGAATTTAAGAAAATTAATGATGACTTTAATCAAAAATTACATCAAGAAATTTCTCACAAAAAATCACTGGAAAATACATTAAATGATGTTCAGAATGAGCTGGATTCAATAAATGAAGTCAATTCTAAGGCAATCAGTCAAATAGAAAAGAAGAATGAAGAATTAAGGAACAAGAATCAAAATTTAATTATGGAAAAAATTGTATTGGAAAATAAAGTTGATGATCTTGCAGCTAAAATTCAACAATTAAACGAAGAAGTGAAGGAAGTAAGAGGCTTGCTAGCCGTTAAAGCTATTAAGCCGCGTGTATCGGACACTTATGCAAAAAGTATAGAACTTGAAAATGAAAATTTGCGAACAACGATAAATGAGATGAAGGAAAAGGCAGAGGAAGTGACTATAAAGTATTCTGAAAGTGTCAGTAAGGTAGAAGAGCTTACCGAGCGACTAGCATGTGTTCAGGACAATTTAGAGTCGAAAAAAGTTGAGCTGGAAGAAAAAACTGAATCCCTGGAACATTTACAAGAAAAAATGCATGAGATGTCATCGGAACTGACATTATTAAAGAATTCAGCTGGACCTGATGACAACAGTGAGTTGTGGGATATTTTTGGGCATTTTTTTGGATCTTCAATATTTGCTAATCTAAAGATTTAGATTTTAATCCATGGATTTAACTTAATCTAATGACTTAATTATATCCGAATTCATCTTTATTTCCTATTATACAGATCGTAAAGGAAACTCCCTATTCGCTGAAGTTGATGACCAACGACAGAAGATGAAGAAAATCCTTCAAGGCGAACGTAGTCATTACCTGGAAATGAAGAAAGCCTTCAACTCAAAAGAAATGGAAATTCGTCGATTAAAACGAGAAAATTTAAATATTAAAGCAGAGATTCAAGCATGCAGCAATCAACTGAAACGTGGTGAACATTTATCAACAAGTCATTTAAAAATTTATGTCTCTAGTCTTGAATGTGACAAGAAGTACCTCGAGAATCAACTTAAAATTATGGAAGAACGTTTGATTGATCTTGCGAAGGATCAAAAAATGCACTGGGTTGAGACAGTTCTCACATCATCAAGTCGTGAAGCTCGTGACATGAAAGATAAATATTATGTTTTGTTGCGTGAGAAAACAGCATTAGCCGACAGTCACAGTAAGACATTAAAGGAAATCGCTAAAGTTCGTCTCGATTGTATCAAATTGAAATGCTTGTTGGGACGTGTTGTTGATGAATTTCAAATTAGGATTGATGAGACACAATACGATGATTTAGAGATTGATGAAGCTATTTTTGAGAATCTTAAGCTTGAGAATTTACAGGCATTACGTTCAGACGATCAAACTCAGCAAAATGAAGACTCAAATGAAATGTTGAATGAAAGTACAATAATTCTACTCGGTGGACGTGATAAATTGGGCAATGCAATTCCACGGATTAAGGAAAGTGATTTGATAAAGAAAGAGACAGGAAGTAAGAATGTTTTTGGTCCTAGTAATCCTAATGAAGTCAATTATGGATCTGGAAGAGCTTATGCATTTACTAGAGAATTTTATAAGCCACTTGAGGATAATGTCGACATTTATACTAAAGATCCAGAGCCGATTAAGTTCAGCTGTCGACCCACATTTGGTTTGGGTGACGTTAAAGCTGAAAAATTAAAATCTGGTGACAATAAGGCTAAATTATGCTTCCAAAAACCGAAGTCTGAAGGAAGTTCGTGCAATTTGAGGTCAATAAAGGTAGAAGAAGTAGACAGCAAGGACAAGGAAAACGCAACATCCAGCAATCATCTCAAAATGAATCCAAAGTTAGAGATCCAATCACCTTTGAAGACTAAATCGATTCAATTTTCGACAACAGTTGAAACACGTGTCATTGACAGCACTAAAGAGGGATATGAGCAGTCAAAGGAGGCCAGGAAAAAGCCAGCATACACTATACAAAGAATCATCATTCCATCAAGAGTTCCAAAACAATCGTAATTCATTTGTTTCAAAAAATTTATTTTCGTCTAATTTTCTACAATTTTTTGCGATTTTTTTCACTTTTTATATTAAATAATTTATAGGTTCTTACTTCCTTCAATTTATTTAAGGTAAACGTGTGTGTGTTTAATTTTCTTTCTCACTTAATCTTAGGTTTTCTTTTCTTTCTGAGGCTCTTAAAAAAAGTCGGTTCCTTGAGCCTCTGAAGAATAATATGCAATTTTTGTTTTACTTTTTATGCTTCCCCAAAAATCGTATGACAAAAAAAATAATAAGGAAAAATTAATTATATTACTGTTTATTATTTTAATTGAAATTATATTATATTTATAGACTCCCGCCCGAATAATTAAAAAAATTAATTTAAACATTTTTTTTTCGCCTAATTGCTTGAATTTCATTTTTTTTAAATTATGTACAAAGTTAATAATTTATTTACTAGATTGGTTTTATACAATATGTTTTCTCGTTCCATCGTTTAGTATCCAGTTTTGTTTATTTGGTACCAAGGAAAAAGCTATAGTCATTAAAAATGTGATAAATTGTCCTATAAACAACACTTTTTAATGGTCAAATCGTTAATAATATAAATTTCATCTTTTTCACGATCGATAACTATTATGATCGATTTTTATTTATTTTAGTTTTGTTGTACTCGAAATTGAGTCAATGTCCCAACTTTTACACTCGTTTTACACTCGTTACTGAAACTTTCAATTTCAGTTCAAAATGGTTTCCAAACCTTAAATTTCAATTCAAATCGATTTTCAAACTTTCAATTTGAATTCAATTTAATTTTAAAACTTTTAAATTCAGTTCAAATTGATTTTCAAACTTTCAATTTCAATTTAATTTTAAAACTTTCAATTTCAGTTCAAATTGGTTTTCAAACTTCCAATTTCAATTTAATTTAATTTTAAAACTTTCAATTTCAGTTCAAATTGATTTTCAAACTTTCAATTTCAATTCAAATTGATTTTCAAACTTTCAATTTTAATTCAATTTAATTTTAAAACTTTCAAATTCAGTTTAAATTGATTTTCAAACTTTCAATTTCAATTCAAATTGATTTTCAAACTTTCAATTTCAATTCAATTTAATTTTAAAACTTTCAATTTCAGTTCAAATTGATTTTCAAACTTTCAATTTCAATTCAATTTGATTTTAAAGCTTTCAATTTCAATTCAAATTGGTTTTCAAACTTTCAATTTCAATTGAAATAGATTTTCAAACTTTCAATTTTAATTCAATTTAATTTTAAAACTTTCAAATTCAGTTTAAATTGATTTTCAAACTTTCAATTTCAATTTAAATTGAATTTCAAACTATCAATTTAATTTTAAAACTTTCAATTTCAGTTCAAATTGATTTTCAAACTTTCAATTTCAATTCAATTTGATTTTAAAGCTTTCAATTTTAATTCAAATTGGTTTTCAAACTTTCAATTTCAATTCAATTTATTTTAAAATTGAATTTCAGTTCAAACTTTCAATTTTAGTTCAAATTGGTTTTCAAACTTTTCAAATCCTTTCTAAACCTTAAAATCAATAAGATTAAAATCATAATCTAGCTGGATTAAAAAATTTTTTGTTGTTCAACAAAATTTGTTCAAATGGAAAGTTTAAATTTCGGTTGATAAAATGTAATTAATTCGAAGAACTAAAGTCCTCTGTATTGAACAAAATTTGATAATCTTCAACTGAACCAGAATGATTTAAGGTTTCATGTTCCATAATGTGATTCAATAGAGGTGGGAATCGATGTCTGTCAATTAAAGAATTAACTGATTAACAAATTTTTCGTTCGGGCCCTCATTCCAACCAATTAAGCAACCTCTAAAAGAAGATGCAGCAACCAAAATCCAATTCTTGAGCTTACCCTTCACAACCAAGAACTATATTTGTGCTAGAAACTTCAAATATCAATCTCATATCTAATTCATAATGAATTAAGGTTGATCTCAAAGCATTTTCAATAAAATTAACTTTCCATTATTTTTCTATTCCACGTGTTCACTCATAAAATTTTACAATAATCCCAAGGAACCAGATCGTTAAAATGTTAGCTTTATGCAATTCACACTTGCTTTATGCTTGCTCAAAATTAATTTGTTAAAGATCTGGTTCCTAGGAAGTCTTTAATCTTCTTCACATTCATTTAAGGATAATTTCAAATATTTTTATTTAATCTTCAATGTGTGATTGTGCATTGGCTTAGTATTTCATTTAATATTATTCTTTTCTTTTGGAATAGCATAGTCAAAATAAAAATCATCGTCGTAATCATAATAAAAACTGAGTTGCTCCAATAATAATAATAATAAGTATTTAAATTAAATTAAAAAGTAAAAAAATTCCATCGATAACATAAAAAATTAGCTAAAGTAACAAGTTCCATACACAAAAAAAAAGAGTGGAGCCAATGTTAATTCTTCATTCCATCTAGGCTTATTGTCATTTACATCCTTTTTTTCAGTTTTGTGTAAAAATTTCAATTTTATTTTTATTTATTTATTTGGTTCTATTGGGTTCCGTCTCGTGATTACTTCTCTATGGGATTTTCACTTTTATTTTCTTATATTTTGTTTTAAGTTCTTTATGTCTTGAAAAAATATATATCTTCATTTTTTTTGTTAAATAGTTTTTTTTGCAGTCTTATAACATGGTTTCATACAGATTTCATTTTACTTTACTTTATTAACTTTATTAGTTTTTATTTCTTTATTCAGCAAATTGTTTTTTTTTTCTATACGTAAGAGTTTTATTTATTTTAGAGAGTATAATGATATTTTTTTCGGGGTTAATCTAGTTTGGTGTAAAAGGAAAAGTTTTATGCCAAACTAGCTTGCTAAATTAATAAAATTGTGAATGTTTGTTGTGCAATCTACATGCTTTTAGTTATGGTGTCAAGTTTTATGGCTTTTTGTTATCTTGGCAAAAAGGAATTAGCTTTGAAGGCTAAACTGAGTTATTATCCAAGGTTTTGGATTAGCCTAATGTGTCTCAACTGTTGAAATGCCAGAGAGAATATCATTGCTGGGACAGTATCACAAGTTTGTTACACCTCCCTTGGTTAGAATCCACAAGGGAAAATACGTTCAGGAGCTCTAAAAGCTACTTGTCGCAGAACAGTGATGAAATAATGTCAAATTGAACAAAATAAGTGACAGAGCCAGCAACAAAGCCAGATGTGGAAGGTCTTTTGTTTTAACCTAATCTCTACTTTGGAATATGGTTACAGTAAGTAAGTAAGTAATGACTCAACATTTTTTTTTGCGACACTGAAATCACAAACTTATGAAATATGCTTCTTAGTCCTAGTAATGTATTAAATAAAGCTGCATAACTGATCAAATATTATCAAAAGCTAATCAGAGCTTTATAAATTATAAATTTTGGGAATTGCCCAATCTCTTGAGTTAGAGGCTTTTGGCATGAACTGATTCATGTTCCGACATATTTCTTACATTCAAATAAAGGATTAATATTATTATTATTATGAACTGAATTTTGATCAATTAAGAAAGCTAGTAGTCGAACGGCTCAACTTAGTAGCTAGTAAACTGATAAATTGCCATGTTAGTGCCAAAAAGACTAAGGCTTGCACTGACGAAGTTGAAATATCTTTTTTTTGATGGAAGGTTTGTCTAAAGTCCAAAATGTTGTGAAAAATCATAACTTAAGTTAAAAAAATGGATCCTTCCATAAATTCAGAAGATGCTCTTTTTACTTTTCAGTATTAAGTTCTAAATGAACTATCTTAGAAGAATTAGACTTATCAAAAGAGGATCTAAAATGTTGCAAAATTGAAAATGTGAAATCCTAAAAGACCTAACATGACAAAGCCCATAATACACAGGCACAGATCAGCACTCAAAAATTTCAATTAGATCTCCGAGTGGATCTTCATATCATCATTAATAATCATCCTTACATCACAAAAATGAGATTGCAACATTCTAAAAGACACAGACTCAAACAACACTCGTTGCAGTCATGAATATTATGAATGTGTCATTAGCATGCATATGCAGCATCTGTTTTAAACAGAAACTAATGACACAAAATATTGGTATGAAGCAACGTTTGCCAGATTATTCCTGAGCATACACAAAATTTTGAGCACTTAATCACTGACACCTTGAAAGTCTCTTAATTACTGACTGTAAAAGACTCAAGTGTTCTTTTAGAGCGATGCATTAATTGGAGAATTATGCGCAGCACAGATCTTTCTATAATTTAGCATGTTCAGCATAAAACTTCTCATTCCACACTATTTCTATGTCCCCGAATTCAAATTAAATTGTTTTTAATCCCCAATACAATAATTAAGGAATCCAACAATTGAAAAGTAAACTTGCTAAAGCACATTTTTTACTAATTTTTGTTTCATTTTGTTTTTGCAACTCATAAAAGAAGCATGAAAAAGCTAACAAGTTCCTCAATTGTGACTTTTGATACAAAAAAAAAGAATTCTTTTATCACAAACACAAATTTTTTTTCTCATCTCAATTCAGTTCCTTTCGCATCTTGCACATTTTCATTAATTTTGGCAATGATTCAAGTTTTTTTTCTGTTCCTTTTACGAATATTAAAATTAAGGAACAACTTCTGTGTCATCGCTTTTGTGTGCATAATGGTCTCGCTTCACTTCTTTAGAATTCATTTTTCCTTAATTTTTTTTGTGTTTTTTTTTCCTTGAGAAATTTTCCCCGCAGCAATTTTTTAAAATGTTTTTTTTTTTCTATTAAACTTAATTTTTCCGAGCTTTTCATTTATTTAAAAAAAAATCAAAAAACAAAAAAAAATCAACAAAAAATAAGAATTTTAACAAATAGAAATTTGAAATTTGCTCTCAATTTTTAATGGAAATAATAGTCTAAAGATATTTAATTGACATGCAGCATAAAAAGCATTAGTCTTATGACAAAAATAGTTTAAATCGTCAGAAAACAATAAAAAATCAGGAATTGAAATTGATTGGATTTTTGGTTGAGTTTTGAGGTGGATTTACTAATTTTTGAGGATAAAAATGCCTCTTTTCTATTTATAACTCGATACACAAGCTACGTTTGAGTAGCACTGCTATTAGTTAACAAATCATTCGTTACTGTCCTAAGTCCTTTACAAATTCCTTCATTAATTGCTCCAATTTTTTTTGGCACTTATACGAACGTTTTTTATCTAGATTTTTAAAAAATCTACAATTTAATTGATTTTTCTTATCTCACTTCAACTTGATCATAGCACTTAACATGAAGATCATACCATTCAACCACTTTATGGCCATAATATTAACTAAAGTCTAGTTTTTTAGTCTAAGATTTCTCACTTAGGCTTTAGCACTTTTCATATTCATTTTCTTCAAACATTATAGTTCAAGATTGTTGTGAATGTTTAAAAACCTAGTTTTTCACATAATTAAAAACACTTATAAGCACCTCCTCAAAACTCTCATGATTTCCAGTTCGTATCCAATTTTAAACACATTAAACACAATAAAAAATTACAAATGTCTCTTTTTATCAAACAAATGTTCAGATGCATCCGAATATTGTCGAATTTATTAAAAATTATAATTAAAGAAACTTCGAACAGTATTTTTGCTAGAAAAATTATTTAAATTTGTATGGTTTTAAGATACTGAAAACAGTGGCAAAGATAAAACATTTGAAAGGATTAAAAAAGGACCTTAATAAAAATAATTAAGAAGAAGAAGAACATTTGAAAGGTTTTCAAACAATTTCAATCTTAAGAGTTTACTTTTAAATCATTTGTAAGGTTCTCAATTTCAAAACAATTAACAATCAATTTCAATTTCCGTCTACAAACATAATCAAATTTAATTTAAATAGAATTTGTTTAAAAAGAAAATAAATTTAGGTACTTAGAAGAACAAAAGAATAAGATTTTTTTTTGTTAACGCGCATACTAAAGCATCATAAATCTTAGCAAAAAGTACAAATTGTTCGGATGGTTTTTTTTTGCCTGATTTTAAGGAACTTCCATTTATATCGTTTTTAAACCTTCTAATACAATCTGACAAAATTGTGAATATTTTTGGCAGCCTGATTGTTTCTTATTAGTTCAAGTTTTACATATTGACGTTTCGTCGCAATTTTTGAATGCCTGCTTGCACATATTTAACGACACTATTTGAACTGCTATGTAACGTTATTGGTCCATTTTCGTGATCTAGCTCGATGAAAAAGTCTAAAATTGAAAGGAAGACAAAAAATTGAAGGAAATTAGTAAATTAAGTTGCAGAAAAGTTTTGTTTTAGGTAAAAAATCCTCAACTTTCAGTCAAATTTTAAAAATTTAAATTCAGCGACTTTCAAAAGCCGTTAAGAATTCAAATTTTCGAAAGCTATTAAAAATTCAAAATTTTGAAAACCGTTAAAAATTTAAATTCTTAAAATCCGTTAAAAAATTTTGAATTTTCAAAAACCACTCAGTCTGCTTAATTAAGGATTCTCCACATTTAAGCATGCAATAGAAGCCAAAACGAACTTAAATCCGTACCTGTATGATTGCCCCGCGCTACTAGATTATCAGCCTGTTCCCAAAGATCGTGACAGCTAACAAGATAACCGAATAGTTGCGATTGACGTTGATAGGCTTGATGAACCTGCAATTATACAAAAGAAAATAAGGAATTAATTAACATCAATAAACCAAGCAGCGATTAATTTAATTACTCAATTTTACCTGAATTGGCATCATGTAACAAGGCGGATTGATTGTGTTTTGTTGCCCAGAACTATAACCAGAGCTCTATGAAGTAAAAAAGAGTATCTCGGAATTATTAAAATTGAACAAAAAAGATAAAAAAAAAGTTGAAAAAGAACCAAAAGATTTAATTTTTAATTTATTCAAACTACTTCTACAAAGAAGAAATAATGGTTATAGCTCCAACAAAGCTCAATTCAAATGTTACAAAAAAAAAAATCCAACCGAAAAGTGTGTGATTGAAATAATGAAAGTTCTTATGGATATAAAGTACTACAATATAGAGCATAGAGTATATCTAACCTGAGATCCTACAGATGTAGGTGATAAAGGCGAAGGAGTATTTCCATTTGCCATTTCTGTTGGCTTGTAATCTGATATGATTCTCTGCAATTCACGAATTTCGGACCGTGAACTTTTGTACAATTTTAAGTATATATGCGATTGACACCGAAGGCTGTGAATTGAAAGTTATTATTAGTACAATTTTTGGTCAAGTGGAAGTGGGAAGGTCGAAGGTTGCATGTACACAAGTATTGAGAAATCGATTGTAAATTAACGGTCAAAATTATTTTGAATTTTTTCAAAAAACTCTAAATTTGAATTTTTGAAAACCGTTAAAATTCAAATAATTATAATCCGTTAAAATTCAACAATTTTGTAATCAATTCGACTCACACATTGTACATGAAACCTTCATAAATTTCAGGAGGAAAAAAAATCAATAACACTCACCTTAAAATAGCGACTTTACTGTGTATGTTACCCTGCATTGTTGCGTGCTGCTGCTGACTTCTAAATTTCGAGGAAATATATCTGTTTATGAAAGATTTTACAAATATTAATATCTAATGACGTAAACACTCATCAGACACAACATACTTAATTAACTGAAGAGTATCTTTGAACATTGTAAATGCCACTTTATCCTTGCCAGGCTCAGCTGAAATGGCGGCACCAGTTAATAGAAAATAAAGTACTGCTTCTAAATAAAGCATTGCTTGAGCTAAATCATCTCGTTCTCTATCAGCTGCATGCTTCAGTCGTTTGGCCTCGATAAGGTAATCATTTTGACTCCTGAAAATAAAATTTAACGTTTGTTAAAAATTTGAATTCCATAAAATTTGAATTTTTGACAACCGTTGAAATTTAAATTTAAAAACGCCGTTAAGATTGAAAATTAATAATTACCTCATCTCAGCCTGTTCAGAACCATCATTGTTACGTTCAAAGTACGACACAAAGACTCGTTTGATAGTCGGTGGTGCCAAATCACCATTTACAAGACAATTAGTTGATAACCTATCATGATTTGTTGGTGGCATTGGCGGAATCTCACTACTATTTGTCATAATATCAAGCACTTTCTTTTCTTTTTTCCTCCTATCTTTATACGTATGAGAATTAGGCGTTGTGACGCTTGTCGAACGATTTCGAATACCCTGAGCACCATTTTCACTAATATCATTATCCTTCTCTTGCTTTATTTTATTTGGCTTCACATCGTTTGATTTTACATCCTTCATTGGACTTGCCGATGTCGTTCTAAACTCATTCTTATAATTAGACTGTTGCTGTTGCTGCTGTTGTTGTTGTTCACGTTTGATTTTAGGTAATTTTGTATCGACACTGCTTGGCGAGTGATAGCAATTGTTAAAGTCTCTTGGTTTATGATCAATATTATTATTATTCAGTCGATCGTTGCTTGTTGAAAAGTTTTGTGGAAATGAGACGCGTGACGTAGCACTTTCTGAATGATTATTGTTATTATTATTATTACTATTACTATTATTATTCCGATGATTTTGTTCAATCAATGATGATGATGAGGACGATGAGGACGAAGATGAGGATGATGAGGAAGTCGATGAGACAGATAGTTGATCAAATGTTGCTGATGATGTCTTATTTTTCTTTTTACGTCCATTTCTCTCGTTCTGTTGATGATTCTCATCATCTTCATGTGTACTACGTCGTCTCTTCTTACTACTTTTACTATTACTACTTGTAGGTCGTTGATCTACTGGTGGTGTTTTTATTGTTGTTGTTGGTGCTACGATTGATGCTGTTGCTTGAACAATTGGACTTTTCGTTCTTATCACGGTATTCTTTAATTTCTCTTGTGGTATTTTGAGTCTCGATAGATCTATACGTGCTAGATCTATTCGAATCATAACTGAGGGCTTTTCGGTGAATGCACTTGCTGGTGATAAATATTTAGGATGACTTTGTACACTTGTGGCACTAATATTTGAGTCATTTGGTTTATTTGTTTGTTGCTCATCTGGCGCAACTACAACGACTTGACCGATTGGTTTTTTACCTCCATTCTTACCGCCCTTCCCAAGGCCTTCATTCGTACCCGTTTTTGGCTGAGAAGCAAATAGCTTTCTCAATGTATCTGACTTATTCTTATCACTTTTTGTCTTCTTTGCCTGAACCTTACCAAAATGATGATTTGAATCATCCGAATCTGATTGATCGGATGAGTTTGCTGTTGGTGGTGAGACTGGTGATTTGGAAGGTTCACTATCACTATCACTACTTGATGATGAAATTGGTAATTTCTCGAGAGATGTTCTTGATCCAGTTCGCTTTGCGACCTCCTTCTCTTTTAATAATGACGGATCTATTGGTGATGGCCTTATTGCTTGCTTTACGGGACTTAATGACAATGAACTAGCTTTATTATTAGGTATTGTTGGTACTGCTGTCGATGGCTTCTTTTCATCCTCATCCGTTGAGTCACTTGTCGATACACGCGGCTTACTTTTTGGTGATTTTGCTTTGGGCTTTCTCGGCTCTTTTCTCGATGATGACGAAGATGTTGATGCTCGATGTGTCTTTTTGGCTCCATTATTGCTGTTTGTATCACTTGGTGTTACATCATAAGTATTTTGGGATGGATTAACTTGATTGTTTTGCGTCGATGATGAAATCGGATGTGACACATCGTTGCTATTGTTTGTCTTACTGCTATTACTTGATGTTGATTTCTTTGAACGTCTTCTTAAATCAGAACTGCTACTATATCGTCCACCTTCGTCAGAACTAGAATCATCACGCTGTGGTTTTGACCGTTTTGGAACGCGCTTCTTTTTCGTCACATTTGGACCATTATCACCTTTTTCGTCAGACTCTGATAGACTTGGTAGTGGCATAATTGGTTGGATTGGCGGAAATCGTTCATTTAAGAAGGCAAGAGCATCATCAACGACAGATTTATTTTTCATTGTTATTTTCGGACTTCGCATTGATGGAGGTGGCATTGATTGTTGTTGTGACTTTTGTGATGATATTTGTGGTACGGGAGGCCTCTCATCATTACTTCCATCCGATTTATTATTATCGTGAATTGATGAATTACTATTTTCGTTGTGGAAGGATGGCGATCGATGGATACTTTCTGCATCTGTATCATCGTCTTCAACATCATCATTATCATCAGTTTTCACAGCCTGTGGATTCTCAGGTGATTGAAGAACTTCATTTGGTGACTTTTGATCTTCCTTATTATTTATAAATGATCCTAAATTCCATTTTACTTCCGGTCTCGGCTCATTCTTTATTATCATTGGTTCTGGCTTTGGTTCCTCCTCTTCACTCTCTGGCTCGGGCGGATCATTCTCATCTTCTGACGTCTCAGAATCTTCTGAACTTTCGCTTGACTCAGCCGATGATGCATTGTTTATTGGCGATGCACTAAAATTATATTTATATCCACAATTAACATGAATGGGAAAGTTGTTTAATTAAATTCAATGAACTTACGCTTGATTCACAGCTGGTTTGGATTTTTCGGTGTCATTATCACTGTCTGACACATCAAGGTCAGTGACACTTCTATATAAAAAAATAAGTAATTTACATACTTTATTGTTGACTATATAATGAGCTTAATTGTTTTATGAGAACTTACGCTGGAGGTGCGACTAATGGTATTGTTTGGTGGACAGGCTGTTGAATTTGCTGCTGCTGTATATGATGTGGTAGTGATGGTAAAGGTTGTAATAGTGATTGAGGTTGTACGGGAGACTGATGTGGAATTGGTTGAATCAATTGTTTTGGTGACTTAATGTTATTTAGCAATGGAGGTGGTGATCCTGGTCCGGGGAGAATAAGGTCTGGAAGGAGATACTGCAAAGAAAATTTGAGAAATTATTATTTCAGATAATTAGTCATCTTGAAGCTTAAACCCAAAAAAAAAGGAGATTTCCAATAAATGTATGAAAATTCGATGACCATCACATGACTACCGAGAAAATCACATGAATCAGTTGTCATATGTGTGTCATTTGATTTTCAAAATAACAGTTGGAACTTATTTGATGCCGTAGCGACAGAAAAGTATGAATTGGAAGTGTTTATGTACATACTGAATTTTCTAGATCAGAAGGAATGTGATTGCAGTTTGTTTAGTGGGATTAATGGACTTGTTGGGGTTCTTTAATGAAATTTTAGCTGGATGTACTCGTAGGAGTAGCTTATAATCAAATAGTTTATAGACTCCCACCTTCCTCTGTGATAAAAACTTCAAAAAAAGTGTCACACAGCTCTGTTCTTAAAGGTTAGACATCATTTATAAAGAAAACCTAATACACGCCTCCACAACTTTAGTTGACATCTATAAAAGTTCACGTGAATCACTCCAAACCTTCTTTATAATTGTACGAAGGCACAAAACATTATCTTATCTTATCAACCCTCAAATTAAGATTCCAGGTCAGTTGTACATAAACACGACAATGATAATATCATTCTTTCCCACCTGCATATCCTCTATCCTGACCCAAATTATCAAACCCACAACACAACTCACCTTATGCTTATTCGGTCCATTAACAATCTCAGAAAATTTCGTCTTTGCCATTTCATTTCTTGGCGTTGCACCTATCTCAGCTAATGGCGCTAATGGAAATGCTGTAAACTCTTTCAATATATCATCAACACTCTTTTTCGATGACGGATCACGGCCATTCTAAATTATGAAAATAGGGGTAAGAAAAAGAAGCAGAAAAGTGGAATAGAAACAAAAGTGAAAATGTAATTAATAAACACTCAATTATAAGGCAGTTTCGTGGAAAATTACAAGGATGAAGAAGAAGAACAAATAAGGCATAAAAAATACAAAAAACAAAAAAAAAAGTTATTAGTTCCTGAATATTGTTTTTTTTTTGTATGTTATTTGATCCCTTCATTAATTATTAAATTGCCACAACCAAAACAAGCTGCTCTACTTGGAATAGTTCTTCATTCTTAATTAGTCATTGACTTTTTATATATTTTCTCTTTACTTATAGCATTCTAAAATTTATTTTCGTTTTTTTTTATGTGTATATCCGTTTAACCTGATTGTTGTTTTGTTACTATTAGTTTTGTAAGACATTTATTTTTTATTTTTCATATTCTCAAATGTGTGTTTGTGTGTTGGACTGTTTGTGTATGAATGAATGAATTTTTTTTAAGTATGGATGGGTATCAGTGTAATAATTCCAATATTTTTTTTTTTGCGAATGACTCAAGCGCATATTTGTCGTGACTGATCAGTTAATTTTTGTGCATTATTGGAATATTCATAATTGTGATTGAAGGTTATAAAAATCGTTCAATGATTTCATTGTGGAACTTCTTTTGGAATTTTATTGCATGTCTTTTTTCCTGCAGGTTATGAACTCGTTATATAATTTGAAAATTGATGAGGAACTAGCCTCTATGAGACTATTCTGAATCACAACTTGTCAGATTGTAGAGTTTGTTGCATAATCTTATTGAAATGAATAAAATCAAGCGGAAGTATTCATCTAGAAGAAGAACGAATACAAATAGGTATGACTCTTTTGAATAGGACTCGAACCAATGTTTTTAGATTGTCAGTCACAAGTCTCTACCTCTGGGCTATCTGCTAGCTACAATTAATCTACAAAACAGCACAAAAGTCTGTCAAAGAAATAACTTTTAATATCCATTTGATAAGCAATATATCAACCTCATCGACAAGCTAGTACAAACCTTAACACATCAGATTCAACTTTAATTAGAATCCAATCTTCGTTATCAACAAAATTATCATTTTGCAAGCTCTAATCAATTTTTATATACAATTCAATAACATTCTTAATTCAATCCTTTCAATCTAATCCATTAAATTCCAAATAACTTCATAGTCAGTCACAGCTAAGCTCTCTAAGTTTCTCCTATCACGATCAAAACCAAACAAAATTCTTTAAACTTTCTTTCTCAGTTTCACAAGTTGCGATGAGTAAAAAACAAGAAGATTTTGCCATTTTCTTCAATGAACCTTGATCTACTTTAAGATAATATATATCTTTGTGAAAAACTTTCTTTATCTTTATCAAACAAATTGAAATTGTAGAAGATGTGGTCTGTCTCCTGAGAATTTATTAATTTTATTTTATTTTGCAAGGATAAACCGACATTTTGTTATTCTCATTATATTGTATTTGCATCGAAAGCTTTGCCATTGTCCTTGATTTTTAATTAAATGTTTAATTGTGTGGATCGGATAATTAAGGTTAATTAATTGGCATGTTGGTAAATATTGATATTTATTATGACTTACTGGCTGAGGATTTGTTCATATTCAGAGTCAGATTATACTCTACCAATTGACAGATAAGAGATTTTGTCAAGTAGGACTCAGATACAATCGTATAACTCTAGCAAACTTTGAAAACGGAACTTGACCCACTTAACTAGATTTTTTTAATACTTTACAGTCAACAGAGCTTTCAATTAGTGATTCAGTTTAGTTTAATCATCCTTTATAAAGCTGTACCAGTGCTGCCTAAATTATGCCCCTCGATACACTAGTTTGTAGCAAAAACCTTTAAATTGGTCTCAAAAAATAATAAAGACACTTATCTAACATGTTGCAAGTGCCTTTCTTGAACAATTGTTTGAGAAGCACTGGACTAATACATAAAATTTCAAACAATCTAGTCCCTGCATGCCAGCGAGACTCTTAAATACCTCAGAATTCCGACAGACAATTTATTCAACAAACTTTGACATAAACTGTCTAGACTCTAGACAGCTCAAAGTGAATAAACAAGCTTATTCCCTTTTTCCACAAATAAATGCACTGCAAACTTTCGTCTAGCTTATAAAAAAAAATGTTATGAAGACAGCAAAAACATTGAGTTGTGTATGAAAATGTGTCCATTAATAATTAATATGTAAATATATATTTTTTTGTCAAAAAGAAAATTATGTCCTGATGTATGTAGATGTGTGTATCAAAAAACCATTTAATATTAATTAAATTTAGTAGGAAAATGAATGTTTACTCCAGTGTATTGTATTTTTGTATTCATACGGTTATGTATATTATTAATATTACTAAAGGGATATTTTGGACATTAAGTTTAGAAGTTTCAACTAGTTAAGATCTTAAAAAAATTAAAATGTTTTCAAAATTTAATAATAAAATTTAATTTTCAAAATGCAAATTAAGTCTTTTTGCGATCTCATCCGAAGATGCTATTCAAATATATTTCATATCTCTCAAAGAGAATCGTTTCAAGAAAAATTTTGAATTTAAGAAGAAACTTTTTCTGAGAAAAAAAAATTTGAAGTAAAATTTATTTCTTGAAATTGAATCAGATTTCATTTATTTCTCTTTAAGTGGATTTAATATTTTATGTTGCTCAAATTTTTTTTCTGTTTGATTTCTTTCTTGAAAATTTCACGTAAACAAAGAATGTTTTCCTTCTTAGAATTGTAATAAGTTGTGGGCTTGTAGATAGTAGGTATCAAGGTTAGCTAAAGAGATTTAAACTTGAATTATGAACTTTGCTCAATTTTATATTGATCGAAAAAGATTGTTTTTGGACTGGTTAAAAAATAGTAAAGCACGAGATTTTATAGATTTTAAATTGTCTAGTTTAGCAGGACTTAACTTTGAAATACCGGGAAAATTTTAACAAATCATTCAATTAGCTGTTCAATTGTTCAAAAATATTTGAGTATCGCATGGAGTCAATAAGGATTAAAGCAGGTTAAAGATTCTTCAAATAGACTCTTTTAGCAGTGCTTTCTCTTAATAGATCCTTAAAGGTAAGCTTAAAGGTGTTTTGAACCATTTTCGCTTAATTTAAAAAGAAGGACAAATAAATTTAAATCAAAATTAGAAATAACCCTAATCATGACCAAAAACCTTCAAAGCTCTCAATGAATAACAGCACTAGAATCAAATATAAGTTTTAATATAAAGGATAAAATCATAAAACCATCCCAAGCCATCAACTCATCCCCAAACCATTACAATATAAGATTCTTGAGCATCTCTTAAAAGTTGCAAAAGAACAAGAAATGAAAAAGTTATGTCCATATGATAATTTGATTCCTCTTTGTCATTATTAATGCACATTAGCAAATAGCAGAGAATAAATGCATAGAAAATGATTTATAGTGACCAGTTTGACTTGATCCACAGCAAACAAAAAAGAAGGAAAAAGAGAATATTTAAAACCCGTAAATGACTAATGCAGATTTAATGCTTATTCTTATGATTATAGTTCTTAAAATTAATATTATTTTTGCAAGCTTCCTGCACCTGATTATGTATGTATGTATGTATGTATATAATGTATGTTTGCCTCATTTTTTTTTCTCACAATTTTGTGTTTTTTTAAAAAAATAATTAAATTCATGATTAATAATTTAATTAATTAAAATGTAAGAGATGAACTCTTTCCTCAATCGACATGACAATAAAGTATAAAGGTATGTAATAATTAAAAAAATAGTATTTAATGAAACATAATAATTATAGAATACGACTTTTAGTAAATATTTTTAAAAATTAAATGTGTGTATTATGAATATTTTAATTAATAGATAAAAATCATTAACTTACATCTCTTGCCAATCGAGGAATGTTATATTTATTTGGATCAAAATAGCCACTACGTCCATTAGTTGGCATTAAATTTTTTGACAACATTTTTGATTGTGACAATCCAGGATTCTTCAGTAATAAAATTTTAGATTTTTTTGGTTTTAATATTTTTTTTTTTAAATTTATTTTAGAGAATGTTTTTTATGAATATAGACAGGAAGAGAATAATGACGAAAAAGGGAGTAAAGGAGAAATTATAAAATTAAATCACAGAGATAGCATCTAAAATAATAATAATTAAATGTGAATGATGAATGATTATAGCAAGAAAGAGCGAATATTTTGATGAGTAAACATTTAAAAGAAGTCTGCAAATATTTGAGAATGAAGAAAAAAATAATGAAAAATGAAAATTTTCTCTCTCACTCACTCTCGACTTATCTTTCTTTAGCTTTTCTCTCAAATTATGTGTCCTTGGCGATAAAAACATACAAAAATAATAATGTCAGATGTTTTAAAATGATTCTACGAAAAATGCGGAAGTTGTCTTTGATTTAGGTTTGACGACAAAAGTCTAGCCTTCTTGATAAAAAAAAATATCATTATTGTCGTCCTCTATCAATATGCATGAGATGATCGAGAAAAGATGTTTGCGAATAAATTGAGATAAATCTCACTTCAATTTCTCAGTTAAAATGCTTTAAAGGAAATATCAATCTAGTCTACTCTTTAATAAACTAGGTTTTCATAACGCTTAATTGTTTAAGTCTCGTTTAAACCATTCTACTCTAAAGTCTAAGCCGTCATAAACCCTTAACGTATTTTTTTTAAAGAAAAGCTGTTTATCATGGACATAATCGTTTAAACATTACATCGTCTTTGATAATATTTCCTAGGAAACACTCGACTAGTCAGATCCTAACCATACGATAAGCAGGGAGCTCAATTAATGGAAAGCAGTCTTGAATGCAAGAACTTTGAAAGTCTAGTTTTTGAAAATGTCATCTTACAGAATCTTGCAGATGGACTTCGCTACACAACATTCAAATGTCTCAAGCTCAGACTTATTTCAGCGATTTTCAGTCTTATTTCATTGACATTTTATCATTATTTATTGACGCACGAAAAAAAAGTTTTCAAATCCCAATTTATCAGGTTGATTAAACCTTCAATAATGACAACCTTGCCCAAATTTTACTCAAAATTGTATTTTGAACCAAAAAAGATTCTCTCAACCTCAAAAAGCATAGCAGACTTCCAGGAAGAAAGTCTTATTGCTACTTAACATATTAATCAATAGATATTCCAACAACAAAATTACTTGTGACAAGCTTCTCTAAATTCATACTTATCAAAAATAAAAAAAAAGTTCGCAATTTGAATAATCATTCGACAAATGTTGGTCTATTGAACTCAGAATGCATATTTTGATTTCTATGACTCATATCAACATTTTTTTTTCAATCTCATGAAACTCTCATGACTCATGTGTTCCTTATTAAAATCTTAAAAAGGAATGAAAAATAACAATGTTGCTAAAGGTTGTTCATAAGTTATGTTCACATAAGCTTGAATAGGGAAGAGATTTGATCGATCGAGAAGGTTTGCATGCTTCTAATCTCATCGGTATCATTCAAATGATTTGGGACACCATTAGCCAATATCACCTCAAGTTCTGTTCCTCAATGTTAATACAACCTCTGAAGTTTTTTTTTTAACCAATCTTGATGCATACATCAAGCAGCTGATTCTGATAAAGTTGCAGCTTTTCATTCAATCCCACATAAACCTGCACTCAAAACTTTCCTCAAGCCCATCCAGCTACAAACACAAAATTCCACCTCAAATCTCACTTTCATCTGTGATTATTCATTAAAGGATTTTTCAAGTGAACGTGCAGCACTTATAATATTTTTTTTTTCATCAAATCACTCTGATAGCAAAATCTCTCTATCCATTTCGCTCACTCTCGTGCCTCTCATTTACCAATGTGTGTATATTCTCATACATTCTCATATTATGTATAGAGCACAACATTGTTGCACTTACGATTAAAAATTGTTTCACATTTAAAACAACAACGACGACGAGGAAAAAAAAAAGTTTTTTTTTATATTTGTCGGAACGAGAATGAAAAAGTATGGAAGAATCAGTCTCGATTAGTATAACAATTGTCGATTAAAAAAATATGAATATGAATATGAAAAAATTGTGTAGTGAACAATTTAGGGCACACGAGAGGGGGATGTGACGCATATAATCATGTTTTATAGAGGAAAACAACGTCTTTAATGTCTTTGTTACGAGCTAATTGTGAATATTGTTTACTATAAGTGGAATAAAGTGCATTACAATTACTACGATGAGCTTTATGTACGAGAGTTCTTGACGATGTTCAGCTGCAGGAATGAGCTTCCGGATTTACACCTTTGAACGAGTTTTTCAATTTTTTAATTGCATGTAAGGGCTTTTTAGCATAGATGGATAGTATTTCATATTTTCTACAACTTAAGGTAAATATCATTGGATTTTTGCTTCTGTGACTGCACAGTTTGCATATTGAAGGTCAAATTATTATCAAGAACGATTTTCAAAGTTACAATTTCTGTTTGCTCTGATATAATAAATGTTTTAAAGGTCAAGAAGCATATCAAGCCATGAGTTGTACAAAGTAAATGCAAATATTACTGAGAAAAATCTTATATCTATGCCTTGGCTGAGTGTGGCTATTTAGAAATCAACTCAGAAAAAAATGAAGTAAGAAGTGGTTTTATTAAAGTGGTTGTTGCAATCATTAGTTAAAATTGTTTTTTGCTATTTTTTGAGTAGTTCGACTAATGCTTTTGCCGACGGATTTGAGTTTTGCTAGTTTTTGGTGATTCTTAAGGACCTTTGACAATTGAAACTAGTCCTTGGTTTAAGAATCAATACTTAAGGTATCTCAAAAGAAGCTAGTAGCTAATCTCAAAAAACCAGTAGAACTAGTAACATTTCCAATGTCTATCAATCCCCAAAAATGTTTGTAAGATCAAGGCCTGAGTTCTTCCATTTAAATTCATTTTGCATGATAAAACCTTGAGAATGACTGTTGATATTATTTTATTGAGGCGAGTACCTACTTAAGATCGCACGTGATGCACGAATTTTTTTGTTTAAAACGAGAGAAAAAAAAACATAAAAAAACATACAAAACAGTTTATTATCAAAATTGATCACATGTAGTTTGCCGAAGAAAAGAACAAACCGCATATCGTTCGTAAACAAGTGAATCATCTTGTAGACTCAATTTAATAAGCTTTTCTGAGTTGTTTTGATCGCAAGATTTAAACAGAGGAGATTGACAAATTTAATTGAAATTTTAACTGACTCTAGTAACCAGATTGCTGATAATATTAAGCTAAATCTTTATTGAATTAGCTTTGCGATAGGATTGCTGGTTTTGTTCACGAGGCTTTTTAAAGTTATTGAAGAATTTTTTTAGAGTCAATGATTGGCATTTTAATGTCCTTAAAGCTCAAAATAGCATTGAAACATTTTTAAACATGATCAATAAAATTTAAAAATTGTAAAAGTCATCGAAATAATTCTCTCCAGGCGCCCAGAAAACCCTACAGTAAAATTCTTTTTTGTTTATTTAACAATATTATTTAAACAGAGATTTTTAAGAATGAGTAAGAGAGTTGAGAGAATAATAAGAAGCATAGAAGCAATAAACAAAACATTTAGAAGCAAAAAAAAAATATATAGGGGCGAAAGATCTCATCTCGAATGTGATCGTAAATCGAGTTTGAAAGCACACACGCATAAATAAATAAATAAAAATTTATATATGAATGAATTGAAGAGAAACAAAAAATATGTGAAGTGCAATGGGAAAAATGGATGTTTGTATAAACAAACATTTTAAAATAAAATAAAAAGTAAAAAAAAGTTATATTCACCTCATGTTTGCTTAATTGTGGAGCAGTTGAACGTCCATTTGGAAATGGCTTAATATCAGGCCGTTGAAAAACGTTGTTGTTATAAGATGATGAGCTATTACTATTCCCACTATTATTGTTGTTCAAATTTGCACGTGGTGGCGCTGGTGGCAGCAGATTCAATGGTTTTGGTGGATAATTATTGATTGCCACATTTGTATTTGAATTATTGTTATTATTTTGTGTTATATTGTTGTTATTATTTATATTATTGTTACTATATGCAGATCGATTATTTATACTTGATGATTGTGACAATGATGGTGTAATTCCATTGCTAAATGATGATTGTGGTAATGGTTTATTATTTATTGATGATCCGAAGGCAGGTGGTCCAGTACGCGATTGTGGAGTTTGAGGATATGAACTAGTATTTATACCAATTATTTGCTTTGAATCATTTGTCAATAATGGCACTGCCTCATTGAAATTTCCTAATGTTGATTCTATAGCACGATCGCCTTCCGATGCACTTAGCTAAAATGACAAAAATTGAATGAATTAGTATTTCATCACAATTGATTCTTTAAACAGCTCGATGACGCATATTCCAATATATCTCATAAATTCCAGAAAAATCATATTCTTATGATTCATACTCGAATATTACTCAATACAAGTCAATTGTATTATACAATAAATTCGCAAAAATAAGTAAGGAGGCGAAACACGCCTACAAAGTCAAAACAAGTAATTTATGCGATTCACGTGTAACTTTTTAAATCTAAGATTTGACGACGTAATTGATGGAATCTCCACAGTAGTCGATTCAACAGTTGAACGAACAATAAAATGCATTGTCCGAAAAGGAAAAAAAAAAATCTTGAAATATTGTATAAAAAATTAGTTTTCTTATTTACAGGTATGTTAATGGACAATTTGAAGACCGAATTCTTATTACTTTAGTCTTTTTCTCATCTTCTCATCATTCCAATAATTTCCAAATCTCTCTTTTACTTCATTTCTTAACAATAACAACAACGAATATAATAAAAGTATGTGAGCAATTGCTACTGCTTGCCTTTCAGCACCAGTAAGTTGAGTCGGATACACTTGAATGAGTTTTTCAATTTTCTGTTAAATTTTATATTTCTCAATTTACAGACGAAGCATTTGATGTTGTTGTTGTTGCAAGTTGAAGTTGAGAGACGGAAAAAAAGAGAAGAATTCCTCTTCTTTTATTTACCCACATACACTAATCGCTTTCAAAAAAGAAGTATGTATAGCTATTGCTTGTGAATAGCAGACAAATAATTTTTTTTCATCAAAGACAGAACATTTCTTCACTTGCCATTGCTGTTGTGAGTGTTCAATCATTACATTTATTGTAATAAAATATAGATGAAATGATTTTTTTTCGTCATTGTATGTCAATATGCTTATATTGTGTGCATTTGGGTTTCCCATTGAGAGGCCAAGTGTTTGTATTTTAATGAGGAACTTTTATGCGATGTTGACAAAGTTGTATTATTCCTTTGTCTACAGCAAGTAAATTTGGGAATGAAGAATAATATTTCTTAAGGTTTATTCTGAATTTAATTTGTGGAAATAGTCTAGAAGCTCCTGAAATGCATGAACTTAGATGTCTAGTTGCGGAAGTGCATAGAGTGAAATGTTAAATATACGATCTAAGGTGGGTATGGCATAACACTTTATGGGTATTGTTTTATGAAACATCTTCGATTATCCTTCGATAACGTATCAAACATTAATCAATCGACTGCTAAACATACTCAAACCCTAAAGTGATGAAGTTTAAGGATTAAAGTTTGAAAAAAATCCAACAACTGATCCTTATAAAGACTCTTGGTGAACCAAAAACTCACTCAATCATTCAACTCTTGATCTATACCCTCCTAACATCTCGATCAACCTACCAAACCTCTTTTAATCCTCTCAAACTTGCGTCATCATAAAACTTTGCTCAATCTCAAAAAATAAACAATAGAAATCTTGAAATCAACTTAAAGGAAGTCGCAAAACGCAATAAAATCGCAGTCAGCAATACGAATAATTTACAATGGGCATGATTATTGCAATAAATAAAAAAGAGTCATTGAAATCACATGGCTTGAACAGAAAAATAAAAATAATTGTATAACGCACGTGATTGTTTTTTAAAAAAATTATAATAATTGCAAATTAAGCACGTTTGGTTAGCCTTTGTGTCAGCAATCGAGAATTTTGACTCTTTAAAATTAGTTCCATCATATTAACTGCATATGATGCTTCCAATTGAATATCTTTTAGAAACAGAAGCTCATACATTGTCATGGAAACGCAAATGTTTAGACTTATAAATATCTATATTAAGATCAGTAGAAAAATAGCTCATGTCTCAATGTAATGTTAATATAATAAGTTGCGAGATTCATCACATAGCTATAAACGTGAGCAATTCATTTCATGTTATTCTATTTATTTTCTCGAATGGACAATTCTCGCGCTAAATTCTCACTCACAGACACATGTCGATACTTTTCTTTTCGTCAAGTCTCACACATTATTTTTTTTGTCTTAAAAATAGAGGAATTATTTTCTATTGCAGAATTATAAAAGACTTTATTTACAGCTATGCCACAACTTCTTCATCATGCTCTATTCATGATGCCTTCTGCCTCTTTTTGTATTTTATTATTATTTTTTCACTTTTTTTTCCTTCTCATCTCATTCTTCTTACTGAGCAATTGAAACAGCAATTCATGACGATTATCATTCATTATATGAATATTTTTCTTTACTTCATTTTCTATTGTTCCCCTCTACGTGTGTACAACTCTATGAATTAATACATGCATGCCATGTCTTCTACTTAACTTCGCGCGCGCTAATATGTCGTCTATGACAAATCTCATATCATCATCAACTACACAGCATTAAAAATTAAAAAAAAATTGTAAGATGAAGATTGGATTGAATAATTTACATAAATGCGCTGCGCTGCTTGCTGTTTGTACATACAGAGAAAGAGAAGAAATGTTGGAAAAAGTAGCATAAATTCAGGTGTCTAAGACGCATTACCTTGTGACTTTTTTGAATTATTTTCAAATAATGAGACTGAGAATGAACCCAATCTTATCATTTCGTAGTAGCTTACACTGGGTTTTAATCTCCTAAAAGTAGAGTACATCTTTTGAATCATCCCAAGCAGTAGTATTTATAATGCTCTGTTTTTACCAAACGATAAAAAAGGTCTTATTCATGACTTTAGTTCTGAACAAGATTTTTGAATAATTATGAATTTGGAATTTCCCAGTTCCATGATCGATCTGATTTTCTTATCAAATGTAATACACAAGTACACATTTAGTGGCAATTTATTAGTCAACAGCAGAGCTCAAAGTCGATATAAATTTTGTATGCAAACGAATTTTATTTTTTCAGAGTTCCCTGTTAGTGAATCAGTTGTTGTAGACAAAGAAGGATTTTTTAAACAAAATTTAAGCAAGATTTGATGGTTGGGATTAAAGCATAATCAAATATTAAAGATTGTAGGTTCAAGTCTCATCAAATCTACAACTTTTACAGTTTAATCAAAGAGTAACTTCCTGTTCACATCAACTTTATAATCTTATCTAGGAAACGCAATTTCTCCACCTGTTGATTCTTTTTCACTAGAAAAATTAAGATCACCCTAGCTCTTTAAAATTCTTCCACAGAAGTCCAAGATTTCATCGCAAATGAATAAAATAATCTCCAAAATATCAAGGATCAAATTAAAACTATTAGTCATCGCCAAAGCTCGTCTAACTGAATGAAAAGCATTAAGAATATTCTAGAAAATAACCGATAAAAATTGGAGAAGCAGCAACAGAGCACAGCGGCGCGTTTAAATTGAAAAAGAAAAAGAATAAGAAACGAAAAAACATGAAAGAAAAAAAAAGATTTAATTTATTTGCATTTCAGAGAGTGCGATTTCGTTCCTTGCTTCTCTTCATTTTCTGTGTTATATGATCTATTTTATGAATTTTTTTCAAAAAAAAAATATTATTTGCAATTATGTGACGAAATCATTCAATTCGATTGAATAAGAATTATGAAAAAGTAATTGCAATGTGTCATCATGTTTGACTATAAATATCTTTGGGAGAGGAAAAAGATTATTGAATGAAAATTTATTTTAAACGGCCCCAATTGACTCATAGAGCTCATTGTTGACTTTAACATAGAAAAAATATAAAGTTTGATGCTATTTTTAAAAAGAAACGACATTTGCATAAGTTTTTTTATCGATTATTTTTTTTCTGTTCCTCTATCCGAAGAAGTTTTTACGTTGCATTCACATTTAAAACGCCTCTTTACTGTTCCTAGCTTTCATTCAGTTATTTTCATTTTGCCTATCTCGACTTTCATTTAAAATAATATAAAATGCCACCTTGTGAGGCACAACTAAATGATATACACAACACAGATAATATTGTATCTTTTGCGTATATGCAAATTAGTTCTATAAATATCGTTTGGATGGCGAAAAGAAAAAAAACATCAACTTTTTGAGATTAAACGATTTTTGTTGCTTCTTCTTCCTCCTCACTCTTATTCAGTTCTATTTTTGACACATTTTCCGTTGATGATTTGCTGTATTTACGGTGAAATTAGTTGATTTCTGGTAATTTTCAATCAACTTAGACAAGTTAATGCGTGATTAAGGAAAAATGAAAAGGTTTTTAAATTTTTTATAGCTCAATCAATCAGTCAAATGAGCAATTTTCCTGTGTACGGCTTATTGAGGAGGATAGACCTGAATTTTTCATAGATTTAAATGGAAGTAAGATTTTTTCTTGACAGTTTATTATTTTATTGTGATTATTTTGGGGGAGTTTCTTCTTCTATTTTGATTATTTGTTGCTTATTTCTATCAACTTTAGGATTTTGAGGTTATGAAGATTGAGGTTAGGATGTATCTGAAAGATGATACGGTTGCGATGATCAGAAGTGTTTCATAAATGGCGTTTATCCCTAAGATTGATTTTGAGGTCATCTTACTCTTATTGTGACACCATTTTTTGCTTATGATGGTTCATCCATATATGATGTCAATCAAAAATGAAAGTTTCAGAACCCCTTTCCTCTTTGGACCCTTTTTGGTCATTTTCATTCAACAATCATGATGTTTTATCAAATTAAATGGTTAAGAAATTTTAAGCAAAGTGAAAAAGTCCAAATTTGTAGGTTAACCTAATTTTCGAATATCCTCAAATGAAAAAAATAATCTTGCTGGATAAACTTCACAAAAAAATGCACTAAATTTCTCTCAAAGTTTCTTATTCTACAGATTAACCTCTTAATGAGAATGTTGCATTAATTACAATCCACAGAAGACTTATTATCCTTTAATTTATTTTTATTGAGCATGAAAAAATATGGCAACACTTACAATTGAATCTTTTAAATAACATTTTTGCAAATTTACATATCAGTCATTGCAAATTTTTTTATGACTGTTGAATCTCTTAAAAAAATTTGATAGTGTCGTT